ATCATCAAGCATAACGATCATAAAAAAATACTTCAAGATGGTTGCATTAAAGCTATGGTTGACCATAATTTCTAAGGCAATCCCAAGAAAATCTTCCAAAATCCAAAAGAATGTTCCATGTATGCATAGCTAACCTTCTCTTTACAAAGAAACATGACAACAGGCTATTTTCTACACTTGCTTTATTGTAATACTATAAATATATGTTTCATGTAATCTACAGAGACAATTATTGCTTAAATAAAATTTGGAGGTACTACTTGTGGTGACCAGTATGATGAACTTCCCCTGGTGACCAGTATGGTGGCCTTCCCCTTATGTTGTTTTCTTAGGTGAGAAAATTCTACGTTATTTGGTTTGCTAAAGCCCTAATCCCACACAACATCTCGCTCACTTCTGCATTCTCCATTCAAGCCTGAGTAATGAACCCCCTTTGTCTCTCCTAAACTATAACTGGCTTAAACTCTAAAGGAAACCATCTTCTCGGCTGCATCTGGCTCCTTCACATTCCAACCATATAGCTAACTCCTATCAATCACCTACCCTCCAAATCATAAAAACTCCATCAATCAACCTCCCCCACTCTCCTTGACCTACATAAGCCTAAATCATCACCTAGCCTTTCTCCTCATCAAACCACTCCACAAGCCTGAACTATAACCCCAAAATCCCACCAAACCAAGCTCATAAACCCCCAAACTTCAACAACTAAAAAACCATCATGGCCTGCTACTCTCAGCCAACCCTACGCATCCACACAAATGCTAATCTTAGTCAGCCCAATCTACATCCACTTCTCCTTCATATTATAACAAGCAAACTCCACCACTCCAACTTTAAAAATCCTACCCAACCACTTCACATCATATTGGAATCAAAGCTTAAAAAGTCTGCAGCATCAAGAACACTATAACAAGGCAATAACAACATTAACCAAGAATCCAAGTTAAGTGATCTACTATCCAGAATTATGTAACATTTTCACTTTCCTTTGTTATCAATATCTCATTGTGGTAATCAGTCTTAAAAAAAAAGATTTGTTGCATGCTGTGTAAAAATCCTATAAAATTTGCATGGTCAAGTGAACTACATATGCAAGTTATGGTCAATACCTAGCACAAATCTAGGATACCCATACTTACTTGAAATTCAGCCCAAAACAACTCAATGGTGATTTAAAATAACTGAAAGTGCTTTTTCTGGTTGTTCATTTGATTTATTAGTAAAAATAAATTTGTTATTAAAAAATGCATAAGACCCTCTTTTTTCTTTACATACTAGATACTACATAATCATTTGACATTAATCCCTAAACATTCATTACTAAGCATCTTTTAAAAGAAATTAATTTCATTCTGCGTTACATATTTTGGTACTTGATCGTCATATATGATCAATTTGAAGGCATTAACAAAGTGATGAAAGGCATACAATCTAGATTTAATGACATTAATACTAAAGCGCAACTCATGTATAGCATGATGGAAGAGATGAGAAATCAAATGCATTAACCAATTCTTAGGATTCAAAACAAAGCTGTTGCCCATGTAGAACATGAATTGCGTGATAACCCTAGAAAACCTCAATAAGAGAGTCCCAGTCAAAAGACTTTTTTTTTTTTTGGATGAAGCAAATGCTTCATTAAATTTTAAAAAGGATATTAGGGAAAATAATCATATTAGAGTTTATCATGATCATTGCATCCAAATTAATATTAAAGCCAAAATCATTGATAACGTAAATGAACCTAATGAATTTTTAGATTGGCTAACATAAATTAATGAATTCTTAATCTGATAAAAGAAGGATGATAATATTTTAAATAAAGAATACTGACGTGATGAGAAAATAATAACCTAATTGGAGATGTAAAAAATGTTACAAAATAAAATTATCCAAATACCATGATAAAAAAATTTATAGATAATTATTAACCTTAAATCAAGACAGTATGCAAGTAGTCGAATACTTAAACAATTTAATATCTAATAGCCATAAAAAATTAGATTAATAATGACTAACAAATCGCTTATAAATTTGTTAGTAGCTCAAGTTAGAAATTATGAATGGGTTTGAATTACATGACTGACAAACCCATGCAGATGCCTTTTATTATGCTTAATTTTTAAAAAATAAAAGAAATTAAAGCTTAGTTCCAAATCTAGAGTATCTTCCACATCTTCTACAATTTAGAAATATATTACTAGACCAACCTCTACATCTTCTAGTGTTCTAGACCCTAAGGGGCTCATACTAACAACAATAACCAAAATACGTGAGAAATTGTTTATCTTAAATGTCACAATAAGGAACACATGCAAAATTGTACAAAGCACAAGTTTTATTTCTCAAAGAAACGAAAACCTTGGCATAGATGATTTAGCATGAGTAATTAATGTCACACCATTACAACAACAACAACAACATCAAGCCTTTGTCCCACTATGTGGGGTCGGCTACATGAATCTTTTTTTCGCTATTGTGTCCGGTTAAAAGTCAAATTCTCATTTAAATCTAATAAAAAAATATCATTTCTAATATTTTCTAACCAAGTCTTTTTAGGTCTACCCCTACCTTCCTTAACATAAGTTGAATCTAGTACCTCAACTTTCCTAACTGTGTCATCGGAAGGACTCCTTTTAATGTGACCAAACCATCTAAGGCGACTCCCTCTAATCTTATCATCCATTGGAGCTACTCCAACCTTTTCACGTATATGCTCATTTCGTGTCCTATCTCTAAGGGTCAAGCCACTCATCCACCTAAGCATCCTCATCTATGCAACACTTAACTTAGTATTAGGCTCCTCTTTTAATGGCCGACATTCGGCACCATAAAACATTGCAGGTCTCACCACCATCTTATAGAATTTTCCCTTAAGTTTGAGGGGGACTTTTCTATCGCACAATAAGCCCGATGCATTCCCCCACTTCAACCATCCAACTTGAATTTTGCTGATAATATCCCCATCTATTTCACCATCACTCTGAACAATAAAACCAAGATATCTAAAATGTGTACTCTTATTAATGATTTGTTCGCCCAAAGTCACAATTCCCTCACTAGGTCTATTGTTACTAAAATTACACTCCATATATTCAGTTTTATATCTACTCAAGCGAAAACCTTTAGACTCTAATTAATGCCACACCATTATTTGATATAAAATTCAACATGATGATGAAACTCATTTAGATATCATGAAATGTTTATATATCACTAAGCATGTCTCTAGGGATTGGAAAACAAAAATCTTTAGCATGTATTCCACCTATAATAATAAAAAATATATGTCATATATCCAATATCACCCTGTCAAGCCACTTGACAAATCCTCCTAGCCAACTCCACACAAACCTAAATTTAAGGTTGAACTTTTACCTAATCAAAAGAAAAATGGAGAACTAATTTTCATTGGTTTCACTTTTGACTCGCCCATAAGCATATCATTTAAATAGTCTATCTAGACCTTACCAACATATGATAGTAGGATTCATGCATGAAAGATTGGATTTAAAAAAATTAAAGAAAGAATTCTCTTATGTATCTTATGGGTTTACATAGGTTCCAAGACAAATGGAAGAATTATCATCCTTCTGAAGATAGTTGGATAACTAGTGATGCCTTAGAGAAGCTTGCACAAGATCTTATGGATAACTACATTGCTTCTACTTTGTAGGAAAATTGTATCCATTGATTGGTGGAGTTCATATAAAGCAGCTACATCAAGTGCATAGACCGGACACAAAATTGCAAATAAGAGAGCATCATCAAGCATGAGATTATCATCAATTACTTCACAATTTTCAATACAAGATGGACATGTTAAACCCATGGATGCAACTTCTTTCCAAGGAAATCCCAAGAAAACCTGCACAATTCTAAAATAGTAATTTCTACTTGGCATGACTGAACCCCAACCCCCTTTCCCTACAAGTTGATGTTATTTTCTACTTTTAATTCAATGTAAAACTATACATATGTGCATCACAAAACCTGAATAGACAATTGTTGCTTGAATGAAATTTGGAGGTATTCCTTTTTGTGGTGAATATTTTGGTTAGTGTTGTTTTCTTAGGTGAGAAATTTCCTATTTATATTGTATTGCTAAAGCCCTAATTTCGCTTTATACCTCCCTCCCCAATATGGAATAGCATTATTTTAGCTTGTAATTTAAACAATAACAATGTCAAGCAACTATATGAGCTGTAGGAAGTGTGAATGGCATGTCGATGGAAAGGTAGAGGGCTTGGATCAATAAACTACAAATCCCAAATAAATCAAATCTCATTAGCAAATGAAGAGTTCAACGTCGCTAAACCTCGCATCATTTTAGAAGTTGATCAATTTCAAAGCATCTTATTTTATATGGAAACAGCAAAAAATAGGCATTTCAATGGTCATGATAAAGGAAAATGTCCCTCCCATAAGATCAACCCTTTCCTTATGATTTGCTAACACTCTAGGCTAAGTCAGCATGACTAATACTTGGTCGAAGGATTAAAACATAAGGATTCCAAAAATATTCTGCAGCTAATTTAAAGTTCTTCCTAGGTGAACAGATTTTAGTTTATTCATCATTACAGTGATCTTAAAGCCTTCAAGAAAATAAGCTCAAATCACTCGGATAGAAATTGCATCATATGTAAGTAGCATTTTGTAACATGACCCAAATACAAAATAATACAAAATTGTAAATAGCACCTCCACCTATTAGAATAGCAGATACCAAATACAGATTGTGTCTTCAGCAAACAACCAGGAACAATGCGTCAATTCATTTGAAGAGAATGGTGATATGTAAGGGAAGAATTGTGAAGTTAATCAGTGTAACTGTTGCAAATTTCCATTTTTTATACGACGGTAAATAAACAGCTAATCAATGCACCAAGGAAACTAAATTCAATACTACTTCAAACGCTTTCCCGTTAATAAGGTTTCTGATAATTATATCAAAAGATAAATTTGTCCATGAATGTTTAGTTTCATGGTGCTCTTACCCAAATAGCTGGTGTGCAATGGCTAGAGCCGTTGTGGTTTTACCCGTCCCAGGAGGTCCATAGAAGAGCATATGAGGACACTGCGAAATAACATTGAAACTAAAAGGTAATGTCCGAATCATGCGAAAAAAAGTAGATGTCAAAAGAGCGGAAGTCTAGGAAAAGGAGAATCGAAGATAGTTCTTCACGTTGGCGGTCTCGAGGGTGTTGGCAAGAACGCGAACAACCTCTTCCTGGTGGGCTACGTCCTTCACTTGCTTCGGCCGGCTGCGGCGTGGCGAGGATGGGAAGATAATAACGTGAACAAGTTTAGACACCAAAGGAAGCGATAGAAGCAAAAAGGTATAAAAGGGGAAGGAAGAGATTGGTACTATTTTTCCACCCATGGCTGAGAACTGGGAATCAGATTTGCCATGGCGTCGCCGGAGCTCGCCTCGTGCTTGTAACGTCAGTCAAAGTAACGCTGCCAGCGATCCTTCTTGCCGCCACGATGCCGCCTCTTGTCTGCAAAGTAAACGCAATGTAAATTAAATGCAGTGTAAAATAAATGTAGTGCATTTCAAATATTTTAAGGCTGTTTGGTTGTCTGTAAAGTAAACGCAGGATAAATGTTTTCCTTATTTGGTTAGATATATCTAGAGTAAAGTAAAAGCAGTTCATTTTTAATATTTTTTTTGTCATTATAACTAGTATATTTATAAAAGGAGTTATACATTTTTTTGAAATTATATGATATAATATTTGTAATTGAGAGAAATTTTAATTTTAATTTTGTGAAAATATAAATTTTTTATTTTAGTAATTAGAATTTTTTCTAAAAAAAAAGAGGAACCATTTTTTTTACATCCTTTTTTCAAGGAGGTGAGAGATTTACCTTTTATATATAATTGGATCAGTAAACTCTCATAACCAGTTCGTTCTGTGACCGTAAGATTCCTAAACATAGCTAAGTATCTCTGCTTCTTAATTTCCTAATAAGAAAAGCATACAAGATGGATTGGGTGAGAGGCTCGCTATCGGTCGAGGAAGCTACAGTGCCGTCCACCTGGCCTTTCGCCGCCGGAGCTACCCGTCTCCGAACATACATGCCGTCAAATCTGCCCCACTCTCCTCTGCCTCCCTTCTTCAGCGCGAAGAGGCCATACTCACCGAAATCATCTCATGCTTCGGTCACGACATCACTACAGATACTGCCAGCGATCTTATGTATATGCTCGTTTTATATAACTAGGAGTGTCACTGCCATTATGACCTCATTCTTAGTCATCGATTCCATCTTCTCCAATTTCTCCTTCGTTAGCTTTGGCGCGTCCGGGCTGCTTTTCACCGTCTGCGAATAAATAAGGTACAACAACAATGATTCTCCGAGCTGCGGCGAGCTCTCTCTCCGCCATCTCCACTTGCTGCCTCGCCGGCTTTTCATTTACCGGCACCGGTGGGCCGATGGAGAGGTCGAGCGCGGTGGACGGAGGAGCGAGAAGTTGGAGTTCGAAGTTCCGGCAAGAGGGCGGTGAGAAAAATGGTGGTTTTGGGTAAGGAGGTGGCGGCGCCGATGGTGGCGTGTCGGCGGAAGGGTTCCAGCTGTAAATCGGTCGGGAGAGTGAAGTTATTTGTTGAGGAGTGCATGGTTCGGACCGGCGGCGGCTTGCACTGCAGGTGTCTTGGTGTTCGATGAAGCTCTCCATGTATATTCATATTTTCACCGTCGTCGGAGTGGGGCGGCGGTTGAGGTAGCCGAAGCCCGCACAGTTGAGATCCCAGGAGAGATCCCATATTTTCGAACAGGATAAGAGATTCCGTAAGAGAGGGCGCGGGATCTGGTGGGAAGAGGTCTGAGGGAAATGGATGCGGAGGCTTTGTAGAACCTGCAGAAGCGACGATGCGGGACGTCAGCGCAATCGCAGGAATGGAGAAGAGAGCAAGGAAGAACGGAGAAGAAGGGTAAATATATGTCAGCTTCGGCGAAATCATCGCCCAACAGCCCCAAAGAATTTCTAACCCGCTCAAATTGAGCGGGTTTCAAAGTCGCGTAAAATGCTTTCCCTAATACCCCACTATTACTTCCGAGGTATTACTTTCGCTTCGCTCAAAATTAACCAAACAATCGAAATTAGTAAATACCTGTACTTGTTTTACTTTACCCTCCTAATTCAGACAACCAAACAGCCCCTAAGTCAAACTCACACACACAACGTATACACATAGACTCGAACCCTGAACCTCTTAGTTGGAAGCCAAAGCTCTCAACTAATAGGCCAAGGAGAGTTGTGTGTTTCTAGTTTTTTTCAATGTCTATTTGGTTTTTTTGATCCCTTTTTGCTGTTTTTCTAGGCGATTTGTGGATTTAGTTTTTTTTATTTCTTTTGTTCTTTTTGTCTTTTTTTTTTTACAGAATTATAAAATGCATTAATAAAAGAATAATTACAAGCTAAAAAAGGCTCACATTTCTTCTTTAACAAAGTAGATAAAGAAGAAGTAATGCTACTAAAATAAAAACTATCAAAAAGGAAACTATCCTCTAAAGTCAAAGTAGCATAAAGATAGGCTACTTTTTTACACTCTTTATGAACATGGTGGAAGATCACCTTATTAAATCAATTAAAAATAATAAATCCTTTATGCTCCAAGTGTTGTTTTGCCACTTTGTTTTACTCAAACAGTCTTGAATAAACTTGATGATGTTGAAGTTATCACCTTCAATTATTACTCCTTTGTTATCTATGATCCAACTTTGAATGAATTTCCTTATAGCCAAAATAGCCGCCATCTCAAGTTGTGCCACGTCTCAATGAATTCTTTTTTCCCCAAAAGCAAGTAATAATCTTTCTTTATGATCTATAAATACACCTCCAATTCCAGCAAGGCTCGATTCCAAAAGAGATGCATCCACATTGATTTTAATCCAACTTAGTGGTGGAGGGTGTCAAACTTTTTTAAACTCCCTAAGGAGATTAACACCCTAGCTATTTAGTATTGGATATGAAAGTATCATGGCTGTAGATAAAACATTTGCTGCAACTACTGAGCTCAGAAGATTAGCCTTTCCGTGTACAACTTCATTTATGTTTTTCCAAGATAGAAACACTGTAGTACAATACATCTTCACCATATTAGAAGAACAAATTGAAAGACTTTTAAGTTCTCGCAAGCACTTCCAATGATTGAAATGTAGGAATGTTAAAACCCCATTCTTGTAGCTTCAAAAAAAAACCTCAATCAAGAATTTACAATGAACTGCAATATGAGCATAATTCTGCACATCTTGACACCCTCTTGCACATAGGTCATTATGGCTCAGTTTACTATGTTTAAGAAACTCATTTGTTGGGATTGCAAACTTACTCATCTTCCACCAAATAATTCCACCCAAGGATTCAATTTCAGCTTCCTTAACCACTTTGAATATCCAAAATCTCCCTCCTTAGAACAACGGTTTAATGACTTTTCATAAGAAAGAGCAGCAATAGATCTCCCTGTATGATGGTATATAACTTCCACATGGTCAGATTCAATGGATAATTGATAGGAACTTTCAAGATCAATGAAATAAGATCCACATGAAAAAATTGTTGATGCTCCTCCACATTCCAACTGCCATTTGTTGAAATGAATTGATGAAGCATTATATCTTCCAATCCCACACAATCAGCAAATGTTAGACAAGTACACAAGCATTTATCTAACACCCATATGTCTTTTAGAACATTAATTCTCCTTCCATCTACCACTTTCCCTCTTAACAATGGTTTGAGGAATTTTCCACCATCTATCAGAATATCCCAAGCCATAGAGACTCCTTTCCTACTTTCACCATTCAAAACATTATCACCATGTTGCAAATCTATTTTCATGACTTATGTTTTGATGTTATAG